TTGCTTTTGAGGACTTTATTTCTGGTCAGGTAAAACTTGGTAATGTCTTCCCAGCTTTTCCAGGCTTGCGAAGCGTTTTTGAATTAACAGATTTGCCATGGTAAATTTAACAGTGCATTTTTCCCAGCACAGAGGGGCATTTAAAAGGAATAGATAAGCAAAAGGAAAAGCAAGGACAAGGATCCCTCTCACGTTCTCCTTCAGGCAGATGGATGCTAAAGGAGGGAACATCTCCATGGGGGTGTGGAATCAGAGAAGCTGGTGCAGAATCACCTGGAGAAGGAAAGAGAAGATGACCTGGCTGGCTGTCTGCAGGATGAGTGAAGGGAGGCAGCCCCTCCAGGAGCACAGTGCCAGGCTGGCACCGAGGTGCCAGGGCTCCAGCTGGCATTCCTGGGTGAGTTTGGGTGTGTGGAGCTGCCTGGCACTGCCAGGAACTGCTGGGACACGCTGGGGGTCCCTGCCCCTGGGTTGGCCTTGGATTTAGCAGAGGTTTTCTAATGCTCTTGAGTTCTGTCCCAGTTTTTAAGCCCAGGGAGTGCTCGTGTGGGCAGATAAGAGCAGGATATCTGCAGGTGTCTCTGCTGGGGAAGGGGACTTTAGGGCTGCCTTGAGCCCACTTGAGCTGTAGTTTTTTAATATGTCATAGTGCTGGGCTGATGGTTGGACTTGATCTTAAATGTCTTTTCCAACATTAACCATTCCCTTATTCTATGAGAATGTAGAACAAAAGAGTCTGAAGAAATCCTTCATTTTGCTCTAAAGAGGACATTGAAATTAGCTTGCTCCATTTTATCCAGTGTTTATGGTCAACTGGAATGGTCAAATCAAGAAATAAATCTTAGACAAACATGACATTTTAGAAAGTCTTCCCCAGTTTATGATAATGAACAGAGCCTCTTTTCCTCAGCCAGTTTGTGTTTTGCCATTGTGTTCCTTGCTGGCGCCAGCCAATGTTCTTCCAGAGGACACGGTAGGATCAAATCAAGATGTTTTCAGCCCATGTCTGACTTTGCCCAGCACATGGGCTGGGTTACACAGGCTGGTGGCTGTTTGTGGGTGCAGCACCTTCCCTCTGGTCACTTGTTGTCCCCCAGGAGATGTGGGGCTGAGCCCAGGGCTGGACACACGTCCCGCTGAGCGCTTCAGAGCAAAGGAGCAGCCAAAGCGTGACCCAGCGGGGCTGTTCCCACCGCTGTGCCCAGGACCAGGCCGGGCACACAGGGAAACCCAGGCTGGAGTGCCCAGGGGGCTCCTGCCCTGCCCTGCTGCTCCCCAGCCCCCCTCTGCAGGCAGCGGTCCCTGCAGTGCCAGCTCAGCGCTGGTGGTCCCTGCAGGGCACTTTGGGGGCTCTGTGTGCCCCGGGGCTGCTCCCAGCTCCGTGCCAGCTGTGCCAGAGGTGACTCTGGCTCCTGGCCACCACAGCCACCTCCTGTGCCTGCGCCACGGGGTCCTCCTCAAACTGCACTGCAGGTTGTTTTTTCTCATCCAAAGAAACAGAATGAAGTAATTATTAACTTCATTGTTCTGCCACAGCAGAAAAATCAGATGGAAAATGCAGCGTGGTAAGTCTGGAGTTCTAACTTGCTCCAGGAGTCAGGATTCAGTGCAAATCCAAGTGACACATTAAATGCCTTTCTGTTCTGAAGAGAATGCCAAGCCGACAGTAAAAGCCACAGCACCAGGTTGCAGTAATGTATAAATCATAACTCACATCCTCCAGAAAGCTGCCATGTCTCAAATCATGAGCCCTGGGTCTTTACGCTGTGAGGTGGGCTGGGTTCCCTCCCAGGACAATCACCAAGGATGGGAGCAATGGGTGGAGTGTTTCTGTGAAGAACCTCACCTGGCCTGCTGCTCTCTGCAGGTATCTGATCTCATGGAGATCTCTCCCCATCACTCCTGCTGCTCTCTGCAGGTATCTGAGTCCATGGAGATCTCTCCCCATCACTCCTGCTGCTCTCTGCAGGTATCTGAGTCCATGGAGATCTCTCCCCATCACTCCTGCTGCTCTCTGCAGGTATCTGAGTCCATAGAGATCTCTCCCATCACTCCTGCTGCTCTCTGCAGGTATCTGAGCCCATGGAGATCTCTCCCATCACTCCTGCTGCTCTCTGCAGGTATCTGAGCCCATGGAGATCTCTCCCCATCACTCCTGCTGCTCTCTGCAGGTATCTGAGTCCATAGAGATCTCTCCCCATCACTCCTGCTGCTCTCTGCAGGTATCTCAGCCCATGGAGATCTGTCCCCATCACTCCTGCTGCTCTCTGCAGGTATCTGAGTCCATGGAGATCTCTCCCCATCACTCCTGCTGCTCTCTGCAGGTATCTCAGCACTCATGGAGATCTCTCCCCATCACTCCTGCTGCTCTCTGCAGGTATCTGATCTCATGGAGATCTCTCCCCATCACTCCTGCTGCTCTCTGCAGGTATCTGAGCCCATGGAGATCTCTCCCCATCACTCCTGCTGCTCTCTGCAGGTATCTGATCTCATGGAGATCTCTCCCCATCACTCCTGCTGCTCTCTGCAGGTATCTGATCTCATGGAGATCTCTCCCCATCACTCCTGCTGCTCTCTGCAGGTATCTGAGTCCATGGAGATCTCTCCCCATCACTCCTGCTGCTCTCTGCAGGTATCTCAGCACTCATGGAGATCTCTCCCCATCACTCCTGCTGCTCTCTGCAGGTATCTCAGCACTCAGCTGAGTGATGCTTCTCTCTGCCAGCACAAATGATGTGTAGACCCAGAGCCCCAAGAAGCAGCATGTGGAATTAATTATTTAGTAGCTTAATACATGGATTTTTTTTCAGGTCTTTGGTTGCATGGTTGTCAAATAAATCAGCCTTTATTTTCGTGATGTAAATGTGACTAGAAGTTACGTCTAGCAATTTTTAAGGGAGGTTTCAAATGGTAAGATTGGTGTGACTAATAAAATACATTTCATTAGACAAATTTTCCACACATAAACCTATTTTGTGACCGCAATAATCTCATATTCTCATATGTTAGTCTGCAGGTCACAAGAGAGTATGGGAAAGTCGTAAAATAATTAAAGGCATATAAACTTGGCTTTTGATTCGCTAGTAAATCAGGGTTTTTTTCTTAAAGGAAAAAAGATCAATTGAAAGAAATAGAATTTAAAAATTAATACCAGTATTAAAAAGCTATAAAGATTTTATTACTTGGAACATTCCCTTTGTGAGGATGAGTTAGTCTGTCCTTCTAATCTCCTCTAAGGCAGTGTAGGCTGCAGTTATTTATAGGGATCATATAGAATTTGTAAAACAGAACGTTTCTTTGCCAGCCTCCTGCATATGGGTTCAGATTCCCAGAGGTTACAAGTACAGCAACACAGACAGAAATGTGACATCGTGTATGTGATCTCTGGCTACTGGTGCAGTGATAAAGACTGGGATGTGCTCTGAACATATTGGGTATTTCAGCACTAAAAATGGCCAATTTGCTTTGCAAGGTGGGGGAGGTCAGTGAGGGTCTGACGTTCCTGCCCAAACACTAGGCACCAAAGGGATTTTCCCCTTAAAATCGTTTCTCTCACAGCCCTGCTGCCTTACCCTGCTCCTCCTCCCAGTGCTGTCCCCACTCCCTGAAAGCACTGTGGACATTTAAAGCATTTGAAGCGATTCCAGCTTCCAGCAGTTAATGGGAATGAAGTCCTGGAGGCTGCTCCAAAAGCTGCCCTGAGACCTCAGTGAGCTGGAGGCTAATCAGGAATCTCATTTCTGAGCCCAACTGCCCATCCCAGTGCAACTCTGGGTATTGAGTATCTCGGTGTCCCAGCACAGAGGGGAAAAACATAAACCGAGCTCACGTACTTGGGAACACAAATAGAAATGAGGGAATTGTTCTTCTTGTGGATTGTTCTTCAGCAGCAAAGCAGGGGCTGCTTTTTGCCACAGATCATTCTGAGGATTTTCTTAAGCCTTGTGTCCTCTCCTTGTTCTTCTATTTGAAACTGTCCCTCTGCTTTTGTTGTTTTGGGGTTGTTGGACTGAGGTCTATTGTAGAACAGATGCCTGCAGCTCATTCCTCAGTTCCCAACAGAAGATGTGCTGTTTAAAAAACGTCTATATTGTGACTGTTGTTTGCTGCAGTGACAGCTTTGATCTCCTCTGAGTCCAGCTGTGGACGTGCAGGACAGCACTCGCTGGGGAGCACTGCCCAAACTGGGGTGAGCAGCAATGCCTCGCTGCCCTTGCTTGTGGCCACTGGGCCTGGAAGGATCCCAACCCCTGAAGGTCAGATGGTCTTGTCAGGAATACATGATTCCTGCTGGAAATTATTTCCATGAGATCAGAGAGATAGATATAATTAGCAGAACCAAGCCAGATAGGATTCTTCCAGGAACAGCTGTGCAGCCAGCGAAGTTATTGTATCAGAGATTTTTTTTCAACAAATATTTTACAGAGTCATATTTCTTTTCACAAGAAAATGGATCTTATCCCAAAAGGATTTGCTGTATGGCAAAGCCAGACAAAGAAAGGGAAGCTCGTGGTTTATTCTTGTGTCCCTGAACAGTGCATGGTGTGATAAAGTGCTACATTGGCCTGAGTTTTATTGTAAGATTACTCCATTTTGGAGAAGCAGCAGTGCAATCCCCTTCTGAGGGGTGCCTGGGAAGGGCTGTCCTTCCCAGCTGGGTTGGAGGTGTGATGCAGGACATGTTCCTGCCCCCTGCCCTGCACAGGAGCCTTCCCTGGGACTCCTGCAGGGAGGAGGGAGCTGGTGCTGAGCAGAGCAGGGGTAACTGCATTTACCATGGGGGCGAGAAAGAGACCAAAAAGCAGTTTTCACCCTTGTTTCCCTCCCTCTTAAGGAGACTGACCCCTCTTTAGTCAGGTTTCCCCGAGACAGAGGTGCAGCTGGAGGAGCAGGCAGAGGTAACCTTGGAGCCCTGAATTCCTGCCTTTGTAGACAATTGGGTGCTTATAGCCAACCCCTGGCACCAGTGCGCCAGGCAGCTGCAGCACATTCCAAATATTGCTCTATTTAAAGCATCCCAGGGCTCCCAGAGCAACTGCAGAGGCAAACCTGAGCCTGCCATTAAACTACTGAGGGGAATGGCAGAACCAGGTAAGAGGCACAATTAAATGTGAATGGAATAATATACTGAAATTAATAGATTGAGCAATGCAGTGTGAACACACTCAGCTACCTGTGTTCTTGTCTGGTACACTATATATAATTTACTTTTCAGTAAGAAAGTGTATTCTCTTTAAAAGCTAATTCTATTAACAGCTTGGGTTCCTCCTGTATTTTTGAATCCTACCAGTTTTGTTTTCTGTATGTTTTGTAGTTGTTGTTCCAGGTTAGCTGACACAATAGGACAGTGTGTAAAATGAGTTATGTTTGACAGCCTTTTTGTTATACTGTGTGAAACTGAGCTCCAAGTGTAGTGCCAAGTGAACACAGCATAATTTAGATTTTAACCCCACAAAGCTCAAGTGGCAGAGCAAAATGAAATTTTAATAATGACCTTTCCATTGTAAGCACACTTCACTCTCTCCAAGGAGAAAAGGCAGTTCATTAAAATGCATTTTCTATGTATTGTAATTTTTTATTTATTTCACTTAAATTTACAGCTGTAGCTGTGGTGTGTGCTGTGTGCACAGTTACTCAGGTAACACTTGTGAAGGGAACTTTTAAATACATCTTCATAGCTACATTCAAAGTTTGTAAAGACTTATTTCCTGGTTTTTTGCACCACTGACTCTGGTATCTAGCGTGAGTTTCTGCTGAGGTACAAAAGGACACTGAACAGTTTTTATTTGAGTTTTCATCGATAGCCTCAGAAATGACCCTGACACTGGTTCAAACTGGAGCTGCCATACCAAAGCCCCAAAGCAGCATCAGCAGAGCTGTGACAGAGCCTCTGTGCCCCCAGCAGGACCCAGCCCTGCCTTGTGACACTGGATCAAAGGATCCCAGCACTTCCCTGTGCCCCTGCAGCAAAGGTCTGAACCAAACAGGAGAGGGACCCCCGGGTTCAGGGCAGGATTTTTAATGTTTCATATTTTCATGGCAGCACACACAGGTCCCGTGTCCCCCTGGCAGAGACACTGGGCAGTCTTGCTGAGACAGGTGTGCTGTGCAGAGCTTCGCAAGAACAACGTGGCAATCCTAAAATTAGCAGGCATCCCTCTGAGTGCCTGCTTGACCTAAGCTGTGCCAGGTGTTGTTGTTAGTTTGACGTAATTCATGTAAAACCTGCAATGCTATTAGCTGTGGAAAGACGTGCTGCAAGAGCTGTAATATATTGGTAAGTAATAGCATGTCAAAGGTTGTTATTCTGCTTTCTGGCAAGAGCATGCTGCTTGCAGGAACATGATAGAAGGGTCCTGAAAATCCTGATGTTGTATGGAGATGTAAAGCCAGTCCTGCTTCAGTGTGCTGCACAGAGAGCCTGGCCTGCCCTGGGCTCCTCTGAGCCTGGTTTAAACCTGCCCTGGGCTCCTCTGAGCCTGGTTTAAACCTGCCCTGGGCTCCTCTGAGCCTGGTTTAAACCTGCCCTGGGCTCCTGTGAGCCTGGTCTGGGCTGCCCTGGGCTCCTGTGAGCCTGGTCTGGGCTGCCCTGGGCTCCTGTGAGCCTGGTCTGGGCTGCCCTGGGCTCCTGTGAGCCTGGTTTAAACCTGCCCTGGGCTCCTCTGAGCCTGGTCTGGGCTGCCCTGGGCTCCTCTGAGCCTGGTCTGGGCTGCCCTGGGCTCCTCTGAGCCTGGTCTGAGCCTGGTCTGGGCTGCCCTGGGCTCCTCTGAGCCTGGTCTGGGCTGCCCTGGGCTCCTCTGAGCCTGGTCTGGGCTGCCCTGGGCTCCTCTGAGCCTGGTCTGGGCTCCTCTGAGCCTGGTCTGGGCTGCCCTGGGCTCCTCTGAGCCTGGTCTGAGCCTGCCCTGGGTTCCTCTGAGCCTGGTCTAAGGCAGCTGAGCTGTGGCTCAGCACCTGGGACGTGGCCACTCCGTTGCTGGCCGTGGTGGGACAGTTGAGCTGCCCCTGCAGGGTCCTGACCCCCTTTTCTGTGCCAGCCCAGGCCCCGCTGTCCCGCCTGCTGGTGCCCGTGCTGCTGGCGCTGGGCTGGATCCTGGGCTGTGCCCTCGTGGTGTACATCGTCTTCTGCTGACCAGGGAGGGCTGGCAGTGCCACACAGCGCCCTGCGGTAAGTGATGGGTCACAGAGAGCTCCCTGCAGTGACAGCAGTGTCACACACACAGAGCCCTGCAGTGACAGCAGTGTCACACAGAGCTCCCTGCAGTGAGGGCAGTGTCACACACAGCCCTGCAGTGACAGCAGTGTCACACACACAGAGCCCTGCAGTGAGGGCAGTGTCACACACAGCCCTGCAGTGACAGCAGTGTCACACAGCAGCCTCCCCTGCCCTACTTGGCACTGCCATCCTTCTAAATGCAATTTTCTGTGTCTTACAGGTCAGAAGAACCTACAATGATGTTGGATGAGAAGAACACAGAAGTTCAGTTTAGATTTCTAATTCTAAAATACGTATAAAATAAGTTATTTTTAATATCAACAATATAAGTGTCATGCAACTTTTTATCCATTAGGAAGAATCACCAAACCAATTTCCCTGTTCTTGGATTATTTGCAGTTTAGGGAGTGGATCTGGGAATCTTGTGGTAAATCAGATACCTGCCTGCTTGCTGAACAACAAACTTTTAAAACAGCTACTACCCCTTAAGGAACGTCACGCTTGGCAGAAGCAGGCAAGGGTTAATTTCTCATGGGGCCTGGGCAAGTACTTTTAGCCTTATTATAAGGAAGATCTCTTGGAGTCCATTGTTATGAAACAGGAACATTGCATGTCCTTGGGAAGGAAAGGCCAGGCTCACTGAGGGCTGTACAGCTGAGTGTGCCTGAACCCCAGGCTCACCAGGGCCCGCGGTGTCCTGTACTGGGGGTTGCCTTTTTAATTAGAATTAATGAGAATTGGAGATAATTGTATTCCCCCAGTCAATAATGAGCATGTGAACTGCCAGTGACTTTGCCATTTAAATCACAACTGAGCATCAGATCACTGCATTTTCACTGACAGCTTTGGGCTCTGAGCATGAAGATTTTTCTGCTGAAGAACTGTAGTTCTGAGAAGATGAAATGATTAATAATTCAATCCCCAGTTAAAGCAGAGAATTTATTGTGAGGGGCATGTCTGGAAGATCCCAGCAAGATGTATGTTTAGGGGAATGTGGAAAAACACTTAACAACCCCTGATGGGGTTAAATAGAGAAAGAAACTATTTTTTTTTTTTACTCCTGCTCACATAATTTGTATAATTCTGAGAATGTGAGGAAGGCACATCAGTTAGACATCCTGTCTCCATCTGTGGGCACTGTCTGGTGAGCTTGGGGAATGGAAACACAAATAGATTTGGCCATAGTGCAGCCATGAACATTCCTGGGCCACTCCAGCAGGCAGCAGGAGCACTGAAGTGTGACATTCCATTTGGGAATTGTCTCCACAGTGGGTTTCTTCACCTGGGGATGAGCTGAGGGCAGAGGGGGAGGCAGTCTCATCAGATGTCCTGGAAGAGAGGGGCTAAGCCCTGGAGGTTCTCAATGCCTGCACGATGCTGTGTCCTGTGACCACCTGAGCAGGAGTCCCTGCAGGTGGGAGCATCCCCCTGTCCCTGCAGGTGGGAGCATCCCCCTGTCCCTGCAGGTGAGAGCATCCCCCTGTCCCTGCAGGTGAGAGCATCCCCCTGTCCCTGCAGGTGAGAGCATCCCCCTGTCCCTGCAGGTGGGAGCATCCCCCTGTCCCTGCAGGTGAGAGAATCCCCCTGTCCCTGCAGGTGAGAGAATCCCCCTGTCCCTGCAGGGGCTGCCTGAGCCCGAGCCCACCTGAGCAGCCACCTCGGGCTCTCACCCCCATTTCCTTGGGGTCTGAGCCCACCCAGATGGATCCAGCTGTGCCTCCACAGCGACCACGTCTGTGTTTTCACAACTCACTTCATTTACCAGGCACAGAGGGAAATTGTTCCGAGCGGTCCCGCTGGCCCAAACAGCCCTTTGGGTGTCTCACAACGCTGGAAATCGAATGTTTCCAATTAAAATGTTACAGAGATAAAATGTAAACACTACAATCTGGTTTAGCTTTACCTGATTTTTGAGATTTGGTTTGGCAGAGCAAACCAAAATAACTCTCCAGGCTGGCGTCAATATCATCGAGCTGACTTGCTGTATACAAAGCAGAAGTTTCTGCCAGTTTTATGTGGTAATAAAGAGAGGATTATTCCAAGAAAATATGCATCCCCCACGCTGCTGGAAGATCACTGAGCACTCTGCAGTGACCTTTTGTAACCACCTTCAGACAACCCACTCTGGTGTCTGCTCGAGGTGCAGCTGTACAGCGTGAAGCTCTCCTTACGTGCAGGGCTAAAAGGGGTAGCAAAAGGTTTGGGGTTCTCATTCCTGAAAAATAAAATGAGTATTTGAGAGCTAGGTTCTTTTCTCTCAGAGGGGTGCTAGTGATTGAGGGGAAAAAACCATGCATGCTCAGATTTTTTGCAAAACGCTGGTGCTACACTATTAAAGCGAGGTGAAACTTCAGTGTCAGGCCACGACAATATTGTTACAGTAGGATGCCAGGCTTGCCCCACAGCCTCTGCCTGGCTTTCCCTGTTCCCCTGAACAGCTCTTGGAGTAAATCAGGTAGAGAGGAGTGTCTGCCCTCCTGTCCTGGGATGTTGTATGTGGCATCCTGGAAACTTCCAGGCTCATCTTTATATTCTTTCAGTGCTCGTAATCCCATTTAAGGGTGTTGGTGGACATAGAGCATGACTGGTGCAGAGCAGAGCTGTGGGGATAACACCTGCCTGTGAAACAGAGTTTGGGACAGGGATATCACCTGCCTGTGAACGAGAGTTTGGGACAGGGATAACACCAGCCTGTGAACCAGAGTTTGGGACAGGGATAACAGCTGCCTGTGAACCAGAGTTTGGGGTGGCATGTTCCCAGTCCCATGTCAAGGACAGTGGCTCCAGGGTGCTTTGCCCACCTGCTGCGTCTCTCCAGCCCCAGAGGCTGCCACCAGCCCAGGAAAGAGGTTCACCTGCTCCTGGCTGCTCCCGGAGCGCCTCACACACCTGGGCTTACCTGTGCCCGTGACCCTGCAATGCCCCCAAACCTCCCCAGCGGGGCTGCCTCACCTGCCCCCGCCCTCAGGAGCCCCTCATGGCCCTCGGAGTGCCGGCCCGGACCGGCGGGCACCTGGAGCCCCTCACGGCACCGCCCCGGTGTGAGCCCCCGGCCCAACCTGCGGGCACCTGGAGCCCCTCATGGCCCTCGGAGCCCCCAGCCCAACCTGCAGGCACCTGGAGCCCCTCACGGCACCGCCCCAGTGTGAGCCCCCGGCCGGACCTGTGGGCACCTGGAGCCCCTCACGGCCCTCGGAGCCCCCGGCCCAACCTGCAGGCACCTGGAGCCCCTCACGGCACCGCCCCGGTGTGAGCCCCCGGCCCAACCTGCGGGCACCTGGAGCCCCTCACGGCCCTCGGAGCCCCGGTGTGAGCCCCCAGCCCGGACCTGAGGGCACCTGGAGCCCCTCATGGCCCTCGGAGCCCCGGCCCAACCTGCGGGCACCTGGAGCCCCTCACGGCTCAGGGAGGAGGACCCCGGCTGAGGCAGGAACTCCAGCTGAGGCAGGATCTCCAGCTCAGGTAGGATTCATGGCTCAGGTAGATCCCAGCTCAGGGGGGATCCCCGGCTCAGGTAGATCCCGGCTCAGGTAGATCCCAGCTCAGGTAGATCCCGACTGAGGTGGGATCCCAGCTCAGGTAGATCCCGGCTCAGGCAGGATCTCCAGCTCAGGTAGAACCCAACTGAGGCGGGATCTCCAGCTCAGGTAGAACCCCAGCTCAGGTAGAACCCTGGCTCAGGTAGAACCCGGCTCAGGTAGATCTCCAGCTCAGGTAGAACCCTGGCTCAGGTAGGACCCCGACTGAAGTGGGATCTCCAGCTCAGGTAGAACCCCGGCCGGGGGAGCGGCGGTGGGGCCCTCAGGGCCATCCAGAGCGGGGCCCAGCGCAGGTGAGGGCATTCCCCACCTGTGCAGGGCCCGCCTGGCTCTGCTCTCGTCTCCAGCCCCGTTCCAGCTCCCTCCCGGTGCCCGAGGCTTTTTTTGGCCCCTGTTCTGTGCAGAGCTGTGCGGAGTGTCGGTCCCAGTGTGAAATGTTGGTTTCTGTGTGAAAACAGAGGCGCTCTGGGTTTCCCCTCGCTGCGAGAGGCTCGCTCTGCCAAGGCCGATCCTGGGAGCTGTGAGAGGGATTTGTGGTCTGTGGTTTCTGACCTGTGGGGCTCAGGGGCCAGCACTGACATCTGTTTGCAGAGAATTTGTATTTTCATAATTCCTACGAAGAACACACACTGAATTTGGCTCAAAATTTCAGTTTATTATCAAAATGTTTTGATCAGATGACAGAAAGCTAAAAGGACATAGGTTTTTAAATAGACCTATTGTAGCAGTCATCTGAGGCATCTGGTACTTGGTTTGGAAATGTCTTTGCTTTGATAAACAAAGCAGTAAGTTCCTTTGCAATCTGCATGAGGATGTTTAATACATATCATTGCAGATTTAAAGCCTTTTACCCTCTTACTTAAAGCTCCTTCAGACTCTTGCAATCAGCTGTGCAGCTTTCCTGATGTGAGGCCTGACACTGATCAGAACACGTACAAGTTATGTGGAGGATCAGAGCCTAAGCACTGACAGTCAGCCTGAAAACTCCAATGTTTGTGTCCTCCATTGGAGAACTCAGTTTTGTAGGCTTTATCTTATTGCCCATACCATGCTTTAGTCCAATTTCCCAGTTCTATGCAGCCACTGATAAAATATGTTACAATACTTCAAGTCAAAAGTGTAGCTCAAGATTTAAATATAAAAACTATGATTTATACATTATTAGAAACTTTAAAAAAGAGCGACTTTAGAGAAAGCAAGATAAAGCTTAGAAAATGCTGAAAGGGTCTTTGATCTTACAGATTATTGGTACAGAAATTAATAAATTACCAATTTCATTTGGGCTGGAAAGCTGTAAATTAACTGTTGTAAATAAGGACTTCAGGTAATACACGCTGGAGTAATTAGTGAGATGTTACTTAAGTACAGCAGGTCTTTGGACTCCTCTTGTATAAATGGTTTCAAGTAAAACTGAAAACATTTGGTAGAACAGATTTCCCGTAACGGCAGAGGGTACAAAGTCTGACACTGCGAAATAAGCTGTCTCTGTGTCGTGTTACGATGGCTAAAATGTGTGTTACTGAGTCCTTCCCTCCTCCCCTGACCAGAAATCTGCGTTTCCCAGTGGGGGGATGATGTGTTCCATGTAATTTACAGTGCACCCCAAGAGGCGCTGGCCGTGGGGCAGGGCTGCAGTGCAGGTGAGGTGTGGCTGTGCCCCGCCAGGTGACACTGCCAGGTGACACTGCCAGGTGAGCTTGGTCCTGGGGGCTCTGGGGAGAGGCAGCCCAGCGCTGCCTGCGCTGCTGGACGGGGGATCTGGGCTTTGCATGTTACCAGGGA